TATGTGTTTCTTATACTACTGTTGCGGAATAATAAATGCAGAAATTAAAGAACACAAGTATTTTACGTGGAAAACACCTGGCTCAAAAGGTTAAAAAAATCATGACCTACTTCCCAGTAGGATTTTCCCAAACTCTCCACTAAATTACTGAGCCGAAAACTGCATTTACCAAATACTTTTGTAAACCTAGGATTAACTCTAATCCCGTTGTGGCAACCAGCCTCTAACTGCTGCGACAACTTCAAGTTAATTCTAACTTGAATACTGTAAGTACCTATTACAATTGCCTCTAGATAAAGCTGAGAGGTACNGAATACTCTAAGTACCTATTACAATTGCCTCTAGATAAAGCTGAAAGGTACAATATGAAAACACCTACTACAATTGAACTAGAATAAAAGACAGACACTTGAAACTGGTTCTTCTATCTGGTTCATGTAGCTTCAGGTTCGCACACTTGAATCACACACGAACTGCTTGCAAAATGCCTTGCTATTTTGCTCTCAATTCACGTTTAGCTTCTGCTTTTGTGCGTTACCTTGTAGAGTGAGAACATCCTGCACTATATAGAGTTAGTAGATGAAGAAATAACTAGAGTTCTAATGCTACTCTTCCTTGATGGAAGAGTTCTAGTTAATCTCAACTCCTAACTCCTTCCTTATCTTGGATAATGTTCTCGTTGAGTAATGAGTCCTTCTCCTTATCAATTATACAATCTTTTCGATCAGGAGATATCTATTATTATGCCAGATTTCGTTTATCTCCTGCATGTGCATCTCACGTGATTTGAATCTTCCCGTGTCTATGCCTACCAGTGATGGACCTGGTTCATCCCTGAGTTCCTTTGTCAATCTTCAAAACTATCCTTTACTTGGGCCAGCATCCTATCATTTTCAGGTAGATGGCCCTAATTTGTTCCATATCTTCAAATTTGTGAGGTTAAGACCTTCAGCTGACTTTGGTACACATTTTACTTCAAGAAACCAATATTTTTCTAGTTATTTCATTTGCTCCTGACCAAATATAGCTTTTGCAGTAAGCTTCTATAGCCTTCATCACTTTGGCAGGTATTATGAACAGCTGAGCCCAGTAAGATTGAACTCCAAACAGAACTGATTTCACCAACTGGACTCGACCATCATATGACAACTTCTTTGCTACCCATGAAGCTACCCTTATAGTGATCTTGGATATTAATGGTTACCACTCTACCATCTTCAGCTTTCTTGTAGCCAGTGGGATCCCTAAATACCTAAAAGGTAATTCCCCTTGCCCATATCCCAGTAATTGCTGAATATAATGTCTGAGAGGATCATATACTCCACCAAAATATATAGCACTCTTTGACATGTTAGCTTGTAAACCCGAAGCATCTGTGAAGTTACCAAACTTTCTATGTAGTAGATCTATACAAGTTAGATCTCCTTTGGAAAACATTAGTAGGTCATCCACAAAACTCAAATGAGTGATATTCATTTTTGAACACTTAGGATGATATTTGAATTGCTTCCCATCCCTCAATTCACTAAGATTTCTCGTTAAGTACTCCATGACTATGACAAATAAGAAGGGTGATATTGGGTCCCGTTGCCTGATCCCTCTTGCAGCATCAAATGGTTTGGTTGGTTCTACATTGATTACTATGGAGTAATTAATAGTTGACACACATTCCATCACTTATCTAACAAACTTTGGAAGAAAGTGTATCTCTTCCAGCATCTGCTTCAGGAACCTCCAATCTAATGTATCATAGGATTTTTGAATACCTACCTTGATCATGCATCTTGGTGAAATGTATTTCCTTGTGTATGCCTTTACCAATTCATGTGCCAAGATCACATTGTCTGCAACGTTTCTCTCAGGAATGAATCCAGCTTGTGTTTATGCGATGATGCTAGCAATAACAATTTGTATTCTTCCTACCAGGACTTTAGCAATGATTTTATAGAGAACAGTACAACAGACAATTGGCCTATACTCTTTGATTGTAGCAGGATTAGCTACTTTTGGAATCAAAGTTACTGCAGTACAATTGATGCCTCTGAACATAGTACCTGTTATAAAGAACTCATTTACTGCTTCTATAACTTCATTCTTGATAATTGGCCATGCTTTTGTATAGAATACTATATTGTATCCATCCACCCCTGGTGCTTTGTCATCTCTTATAGAGCATAGTCCATCATAGATTTCTTGTTCTGTTACTATTTTACATAGCTGAAGTTGTTGAGCATGGTTCAGCTTTTTGCCTCTTCTCATGGTCTTCTTATTTACTGTTGCCACACTGGGAATTGTTGTGCCCATGAGTGACTTAAAAAACTGAGTAATCTCTTCTCTTATAGCTACTGAGTCAGTCAGTCTCCTTCCATCTAGAGAATCAATCTCTGTGATTTGTTTCCTCTATTTCCTATCCTTCATGAATGCTGAGAAGTAGCTAGTGTTAGAATCTCCAAGTTTTATCCACATTTCCCTCGCCTTCTGTTGCATAATACTTTCTTCAATCAAGGACCACTTTTCAAGTTAACATTTTATATTCTTCTCTTCTGATGCAAGTGTATCTCTGTAATGTGTACTTATCTTGGTCTGAATCTCTTTCAGGTCTTCCCTAGCTTATTCAATCTTCATAACAATACCCTTGAACTCAGTTTCATTTAGAATCTTAAGTTTTTCTCTTAGGTTTTTCTGCTTCAGCCAAAAGTTTCTCATTGTATATATATGCAGGTTCTGTGCCCATCAATCCTCCACTATCTTGAGAAAGTTCTCATGTGTCGACCAAACATTAAATTAAAGAATTTGAATGATGCCTTGATCTTTGGCTCCCTCAGGTTAGTATTTATCATCATAGAGCTATGATCTGAGATGTGAGGTAGTCTGTACTAAGTAGTGAGATGTCCAAACTGCATCATCCAATCTGCATTTCCCATTGCTCTGTCAATTCTACTCCAAATTCTGTCTCTACCTTGTTGTTTATTTGTCCATGTGTAGTAATCTCCCTTCCATGGTAGCTCATTCAGTACCAGGTTTTGAACACATTCAACAAAGTCCTTTATCTCCATACTAGTTACTGCGGTACCATATAGTCTATTCTGTGGGCACAATATGGAATTGAAATCACCCCAAATAATCCAGGGTTTAGATACCTTTTGTGAGATTCCTGCAAGCTGTTTCTATAGCTCATTTCTCTTTTCTAGTGTGTTATATCCATACACCACTGTCATATCATAATCAATGACTTGGTTCCTGCTAACCACATCACAATGTAATAATTGTATTTCTTGTTGTATACTCTTTATTAGATATACAACACTATCCCAAAGTATCCAGATTCTTCCAGTAACTGCATTTGCATAATTAGCTTCAAACTCCCATCCAGGAGCTATTTTTCTACTAATTTTGCCTGCATTATGCTCCTTGACTCTTGTTTTCACTAATCCAACTAACTTTACTTTATTCTCGTTAAGGTATGTAGCAATTTCTTTTTGTTTATACCTTTTATTTAGCTCCCTCACATTCCATGCTAGCCAAGACATTATTGATGGTATATGAATCCCCCTCCTAAATCAGAAGGGAGTAAGGCTACCACCACAACATCATCTTGTTGCAATATTTCAAACTCATTTCTCACCGGTATAACAATTTCCACTATTTGATTCATAGGTCTGCCATTTATTTCTTTAGCTGCCTTTCCTTTCAATAACTGCTTCTCTTTGGCTTGTGGATCTATCTCTTCATTTGCCATTGTTTCTGCTGATTGTTGTGTTTGTTTGGTTGCCCCTGCATAGCTGGTACCCTGCTGATCACCAGTAGAGGTAGCTGGCATACAAGTGTCTACCTTTGGTACCCAAGTTGGTTCCTCTTTCTTCGATTTATCTATTCTTTGCATAGCACAGTTATGCCCTATCATTAAGCATTGTTCACAATATTCAAGTTTCCATTCAAACATCACTCCCTCCCTGCTGGAATGTTTTCTTTGTAGGGTCCATCATTGTTATTTTAGATGGCAAGGCCTTAGTGACATTAACTTATATGAGCATTCGAGCAAATGATATTCTAGTTTGCTTTGCTGTGCATTCATCCGCATATTTAGGAACACCAATGGCACTGGCTATTCTACTCAATGAATCCTGCTCCAACAATTCATGGGCAGATTTGGGAACTTAACCCATAAAGGCAATTCTATGAGGAACTCTGCATTGAAGTCAAAATCTGGAGTCCATTGCTTTAAAATCATAGGTCTATTGTTAATACTATAAGATCCTTCATACAGAATTTCATTTATGTCTACTATGCTTTAAAATTTAACAACATAGTATCCCTCCTAATGATAATAGATTCCAGGTTCCGATACAGTATTCCAGTTTTGCTGCACATATTTCTTCATGTAATTATATCCAGGTGTATCTCCTACTACATATACTATTAATGTCGACTTCCATTTATCAATCTCCTTTTCTGTTTCTTCTTTGTCAAGCTTAACAATTACAGATCCCTCAACCAATTCCGTAGGAATGTAATCAAGAGACATACCATTAGTTGCAGCACGATTACGGTTGAATAGTCCAGTCCAAGTAGGCTCTGGAGCTTGTTGCTTCATTGCTGCTTCAGCATTCTCCTTTGTTGAATCTTTGAGCTTTGGATCATTAGTACTTGTACTTGTGGTCTTTCATTTCCAGTCAATTGCGTCTTTGGTTCTCCGCCGAGGTTCAATTTCTTAACCTCAGGGTTCGATTTCACTGTCGACGCCAATGGTGAAAGAGCCAGAAAGTGAGTCGCTACTGGTGTTGTAATTCTTTGTTCTCCATTTTTTAGAGTTTCAGCTATTACCCTAGCACTTACCGAGCTCCCTACTGTAATAATTGGTTGTTTCTTCGGTCGACCTCGCCCTCTAGCCATGGCTAGATATTGCCGTTGTTGAGCACCTATATCTACACAATCTCCAATCAAATATATAATGGCCAAAGGTAACAAAAGCAGTCAATATATTTTTCCTCATAAAATATTACTCCATCTTATTGTATTCCAAACAAAAAGTATTCTATAAAATTCAGACCAAGAAGAAGGCAGTGTCCAGAAAATTAGTACTTTACAAGATAGATCTCAGTCCTAATAAACTAAAAATGTAGAAAGCTAGCTAGAAAAATAGGGGTGGGAAAAGAAAGTGAAGATTAAAAAAAAGGTAGAATGAAGCTCTCTCATTGGGGCATATCTTCCTTGATCTGCATTCTGCTTTTAACTTCAATCGCAACTAAACAAAGTCGTTGAACAGCAGGCAATAACAAGTAATACATCACGCATAGATAGATGTACTTGCTTTTTTGTCAATCCAACAACTCATTTAGAACTCGTTGCTTCTGGCTCGAACTATATATATGTGTGTGAAAATAGCACATCTAATAAAGAATAGAATCATGTCAAACCCGCTGCATCTAGCTCGGACTATATTAAGAACATAAATTAATAACATAGCCCGTTAACTCTAAATTCTGAATTCACCACTGTTTCAGCACTCCAATTTTTGCACCCAGACCTCGTCCAGTTTATCTAAATCCAAAAAGACTACGAGGATCAATAGCTAAATCAACGACGGATTTGAGTTCATCCCAGTTTCCATCACTAAACAAATACTCCTCTTCAGCACTTGTATTCCAAAAGCTTGAGTTTGATGATGTGATTGAAGATTGAGGCATGGTAATTATTGGTTGGCTATTTTGGTAATGTGTGGTTTTTTGATCAACTTGATAATTTCCTCCAGTTGCTGTATTATTTTTCTTATGTGGAAACTCCATCTTATTGAAGTTGATATTAATAGAGTGATCATCACTTGTTTCAGATTGAAGACTGCATGCTTTAGAACTTGCATCACCAAAACTTTGTTTAATAACGGGCTGCTTCCAATCTGGTGTGAATCTCTTGTAATTTGAAGTCCTCTTGAATATTCTGCATAGTGTCCAAACTTCCTGCAATTTATGATTTTCAAAAGGGTTAATACATAGTTGATATACAAGAGAACAAAGAAAAATGGTGTATTATCGCAACTTCGCTCAGCTGCGACGCCCTTACTTTTTGCCTCAACCTACGAGCACGGAAGAGCATGGTACCGCTACCATATATGTGAAAATTTAAGAAAAACAGTTTAAAAGTTTTGAATTTTTATTTTCGACACTCTATAACTTTGTACACATTATATTAAGCTTAAATCATAGGCCCGCCTCCATCTTTAATTGCATGAACTTTTTTACTCTTGTTTTCCTTCTTTTTGCCAATTTATTCATTTGGGTGTATACTAATTTGTACTATTAGTATAATTTTCTTTTTACAGATATATTGAGAAAATATTAATTGAGATATATTTTATTTAGCACAGATGCCAATAACCAAGTTGAATCATCGGATAATTAGGTTACTAGTTAGCATTTGTGGATATGAATTCAAGAAGAATTTAAGTTCTATTCACTGACGAACGTCAATCAAGGGACTGTATAAATGAGTCTATATTCCTTCCACTCCTATATAGAAAATCATTTTACTACTTGATCAAAAGTGAAGAAAGGTAAACAAGAAATTAACATAGAATTTGTGTTACCAGTTACCACGACAAGCAAGGATGGAGGTATAATTTAATGTAGGGGTTCGACAAAACCCACTAACTTTGGTCCAAATTTTGTATTAGTATTAAAAAATTCATTTAATATATATAAATTAGTACGTATTAATTTAGCTTCGACTATCTTGTTATCTTGTTGTTGTTACTATTTCCTTTTCCTTGTGACCTTTACACTATTATATTTATTTTGCATAATTGTTGTGATTTTGCTTTTCTTGAGCCTCCACTTGCACAAAGCAAAAGTAAGGTCGCGTACATATTACCCTTCCTAAACCTCACTTGTGATATTGCATTGTGTTGTTGTTGTTAGTATTAATTTAGAAACCAGTAACTTAGAAGGGCCAAATTCCGAACTCATAAATTTCAAATCTTGACTTCACCTCTGACAACAAGAACGAAATTGGGGGGGG